TTGTTTCCGCGGCAACAGGTGATGAAGATGAATCTGATCCCTTTGTCATTTTAATCTCTAGGATCTTATCACGTAATAAACAGCTTTCACCACAATAAGGATTATTTTCACGTGCAGGCTTTGAACAATCTTTAAACAAACATTTTGCTGGTTTTGGAGGTTCCTAAATTTAGATATCAATAAAATTAATTATAAGCATAAGCACTCGTGAATTCATTCTAACTTGATGATGACACTAATTGACATATGAATTTAGATATTTTAGACGTTTAACTTACATTAGATGTTGGCTCTTCGATTAACAATGCCTTTGGATCAATGCCCGTAGCCTCTGCCATTGGGCGATCATCTATGAAGATTCAAGTATTGTTAGCAGAGTTAAAAGATTTCCTACATATATGTGGGTTGCACGATGCCGCAGCATGCCAAAAAGCAAGAGACTTTCAAATGCAAGCAATACAAATTTAAAAGAGAGCGAAGATTGAAATCATAAACTAAAATTACGGTATATATATATATATTTTTTATGGTAATAATACAACATGAATTATGATATATTCTAAATGATCTTCGTGATGTCATCAGTTTGACGTATCCTTGTGTTACCAATTCTGTTACGGCATCTGCAAAAAATACAGCGAAAAAATAGCGTGATGCAAGCGAAACACACCTTTGATTAAACCAATGAGTGAAGGATTTTCTACTTGACATTTTGGGCAATGGTATTTGTCAACTTCCTGCGCCTGTTGTGGCGTGATATTCACACACTCACAATGAAACCTATATATGACACAATTCAAGTATATTATGTAGAATGAGCACATCAACTATTGGATCTATTTTTTGTAAACCTTGGGCCAGGCATTTATAAAAGTTATGAACAATTTATTTTTTGCGATCACTATTGAAATTAAAACTTGCCACTCATTGCACGAATCACATTCAACCATGACTCCGAAAGCTGGACCACGACATATACAGTAAGGTCCATCATCAGTCTCTCCTTGACCCTTTTTAGGTCTTTGTCTTCTTTGCCGAGGTTGGATTCCAGGGGTAGGTCGCATTTGATTTGCGAACCGAGTTCCGTAAGAATGCCCTTGTTGAACTTGTATAGGTTGTTGTGGCTGCGTCATTAGAGTAGGATCGATAAGAAACTGTGTAGCTGCCTCAGGGTTTATCAACATCGATTGGGCATTGTTATCCTGAACCGTTTGTACAGAATCATGAAGTACGAGAGAAGATGTATTCCAATCTTGTGTAGTTATTTGACCGTCTGGTGTTGCACTGATATTCCATATTATTTGTGGACCGTCAGTCACGGCAATAGTATCAGAGTGAACAAATTCATCAAAATAATAATAACATGTTTATTGATACTGACATGATAGGTAGTCCTACGGCAATTTCGGTGAGTTCACCAATGAATTCACCACAACTTTCTCCTCAAGTCTCGCCTAAAATGAGTCCCCATACTCCTCCTGGTGTACCTACTAACCTTAATGAGCCTAAACTATCGTTAACTTATATATGGTCGGGTAAATTGGTGTATGATAGTGTAGCCAGATTTTCTGGCAAAGCAAGCCTTGTTGCCGCAAAAAAACGGAGTAAAGAAAGATGTTGGGAAGATTTTCTTGCAACGGTTATCAGGATTAACGGTCACGTGTCACGGGTGGATGAAGCGGAAACATATTTAATTGATAGTTGGTGTTCGCCTTCAAAAGATGTTGCTATTATCAAATTTGAACATGTTGATAATCTTGATGACAAGCAACAATTTGATATGATATTTAATTACTTGCGCTATTCTCAAAAGGATAGAGTGATGCGTTATGGACGCGTTGCAAATGCGTATAGTAATGTTAGGGAAATGTACATTATTCCATTAGAACCAGATGATAAAGTACCTGACGTTTTTACCTTTTTAGATTATGATGAGCTACTAATACCAAAAAATAATGAAAAACGTCAATCAAAATTATTATTGGGTGCTATTGTCATTGTTGAAGCTGAATCTGTGAAAACGAAACGTCCACGTGAATTGAATGTGAATAATGCAACACGGTCAGTTAAAAAAGAGAAAGTAGAATCTGCATATAATGGTCAATTGGGTAGTAATGTCCAACCAAATATCGGAGCTAATGTTGTAACTAATAGTCCGGTGGCTCACGTTATGACACCACAGACGAGTATGGTTATAGCCCCGGCGAACTCACCGCCAAACCAGCAAATTTCTCAAAATGTGACGGCGGTGACGTCAGCACCAAGCGGAATTTTTCCCGGGTTACTGCAGTCATTATTAGCTGCTCCCAGTCAAAATACATCATCAAATCAATTCCAACAACCACAACCTCAATTTAATGGACCTCCGCCCAATGGTCATCCAGCCGCTTATGCTATGCCTACGCAACAACCGCCGCCGCCACAGATGCATATGCCCTCTCAACCGAACCAATACCCTGCACCTTTTCCAGCCGCAGCGCCGCCACCGAACGGTCAGTTCATGCCACCACCACCACATGTCGTACAAGGTCCTCCACAACCAGCGCCACAAGGACAAATGCCTCCACCGGGGCAGATGCCACCAGGATTTCCCCCCCAATATGAACAATTTTATGCACATCCACCCCCAAACTATCCACCTTCACAACAACCTCCCGCAATACAGCCGCAGCAACAAATTCCATATGGTCCACCAGCACTTGGCCAGAACGTGCCACCTCTGGTTGGTCAGAACGTACCGCCTCCAGTTGGTCAAAACGGGCCACCATCTGTTGGTCAAAATGTGCCACCATATCATTATCCACCAGCACCGACAGATAACAGACGTCCTGGCGAACAACCTCAATGGGTACCTCCGCAAGATAATCGCCCATGGGATAAAACTAACAATCAGCCACCTATGTGGGAAAGGAATTCGGATAACAGGCCAATGGATCTCGATAATCGACCATCATGGGATCATGAAGACCGACGATCTTATGATATGAGACCGCCAAGAGATCGAAATCATCGACGACCATCACCTCCTCATTCGGATTACCGTGATTATCTTGACAGAAGACAAAGAACCCATCATCGTAATCGACAAGATAGCCCAAGAAGTAGAGGATCTAGAAATAGTGGAGGAAAAGGTGATCGTGATTGGAACGAGCAAGACCGAGAGTGGGGAAATCGAGATAAAGACAGAGAAGAAAGATTTGATCGTGGAAGGGATCAACATCGTGACAGTGATCGAAGTAATCGTGGTGGAAGAGGCGGAGGAAGGTATCGTCCAAGAGCTTAATGTAAAATTGGGTAAATGCATAACATTGTATGTACGGTGCTAAATATTTTAAAAAAATTTTGTTTAAATATTTTACATTATATATTTAAATAAACTAATAAAGTCAAAGTCATCTTTATATAGAACTTAATTGTGTTTTAAATAACTTAGTTGTATTCTTGATAATTATGTTGGATAAAAAGCTTTTTTCTTAATTTGTAAGCAACTTTAGGCAAAT